ATTTTGCATCTTTCGCTTGCCATATCGGCTTCGGCTACAGGTAAGCCTTTTTTTCCCCCCCCCCCCCTTCTGTAGGCGAATTTTCGTAATTTTTAATTGATTAAGACAAAAATTTCTGTAAAATTTGCTTCCTTAGACCATTAGAAATCGCCAGTAACGAGTCATAAATAAGGATAATTTGGTGAAATACCATTGATTTTTACACATCCGAGGCTTCTAGAACCGTATTTTGCAATATTCATTTGAGCGGATTTGGCAAGATAAGAGGGTACCAGTTGTTGAGGGCCACGGATACCAGCTGAAAGTGTTCAACTCAGCGTAGGGAGCTTGGGCAGAGTTACAACACGGGTGTAGTAGGATCATCTCAGTAACACTACTGTCACAGAACGCTTAGGAGGGCTGCTGGGGGAGCGGGTAGGGGGGAGAGGAGGAGGAGGGGGAGTTGGTTTTTTTTGGCGTTGTATCTGAATGCCTGTTGCACTGCAGTTGCTGTATTATGACACTTTGTATACCCACTAATAGCTAAAAGACTTTGAACTTCGTAATTGATTTTCGTAATAAATCGTAATTCCGCAATTATCTTCAAAATTTTGTAATTTTGTTCATTCGGATTGCCCCCTCCCCTCCCCTTGCCTTATCGCGACCCTAACCGTTAATATTTTTAGACTAGTCTTATGCCCTGTTTGTAAGAATGTGTATGAGTGTACGACTCCTCATCCTATATACATATTTATTAATACGCAGAATATTAAAAAGGTAATACAAAACAAGATGGTGAGGCTTTGGGGAACCGAAACTCTCCAGAGCAGGAATAAAAGCAAGATAGGTTAAAAGTCTTTGAAGAGTTGTCGCACCCACGTCAATGCGGAGGAGTGCTTTTATACCCCAGGGGTCAGAGATTACTAAGACAACGAAAGTTTAACGAGGGTAGGATGGCCAAAGTTTGAACCAGGGACGGGGGTATTGCGTCACAGTAACGCAGTTGTTCTTTAACCTATTTTTAACAAAAACCATCAGTCATTATTTGATCTATTTTATGATAGCACCCTAAATTTTCACCGATTTTGAAGTGCACCCTCACCATCCTTGCTTTTGTCACATTCTAAGTGCAGCTGTGGTAGGCCATTCTAAGTTGTATTTCTTTAGTTTTTGTTGTCGGTAGCTGCGTTTTGTCTGGATTTTTCGAGTTAAGGATGGTTTGTTTTTTTAGGTATAGTGCGATTGATTTTGCTCGTGCTATAGCTGGCCGTTTAAGTTATGGTGTTCTGGAAATTGAATCGCCATTTGATCGTTTCTTGGGTGGAGAGGAGATTTTGCGAAAGTTCATGCATGGTGAGTTGGTGACCGATCGCCAATTTTCATTTTCAAGAGGAAAATGTTTCTTCGATTTGCCGATGGTCGGATTTCTCAGACATTCAAATTGAGCCTATGGGAATATTTTTGTCCTTGGCATTTCACAGTGGGGCAACAGTGACAGCAAATTGATAGTGTAGAGTAAGAGGGTGTGCGAACACTCGCAAAATCCACCAAGACTTTTGTAGGGCCCTACGTGTTACCCATGGGTACGAGGAGGCTGAATTTAAATTTGCGGGGTCACACGTGGGTGTGGGACATTGCCCTGAATTTTAAGCTGCCCAGCTTTTGTGGTTCTCGTGTTGAAAGTTGCGGGTAAGTTGCTGCACACACA